CGTGGCTTGGAGCCGAGACCCGCCGGGCCGAGACATGCTTTGACTCATGACCTATCTCAGGACAGGGCAGGACTGCAGGAGCATGAGAGAAGCTGGCGACATTACAGGCACAGTCAGGAAGCAGAGAAAGGTGGGTGCCAGCGTTCAACCCCCTGTCTACTTTTTATTTCTACCTGTACCCCACACCATGGACTGCAGTTGTCTACATTCAGGGTAGGTTTTTCCTAATGAGTTAGGCCTGTCTGGAAACATCCTTATTAGGCATGCCCCCGGGGTTTCCATGGTGACTCTAAATTGCCATCCTGCATGGTAATTCAGATGACAAGATTAGCCACCGTAAATGCAGACTCCAAGCAGCATGCTGTGAAACAAAAATATTTATCATAGAAAATGTATTCGGGCTGGGGCTACAACTTTACCAAATGCTCGTTGCTTACTTTATTGATTGGCACAAGGAAATGTTAAGAAGCTGTCTGTCTGCCTGTCCATCTGTGTGTGACCAGGTCCTGTTAGATAACCCAGGCTAGCCTCAACTCTCTGGGGAGCCCAGCCTTGACTCCAACTCATGGTACTCCCATCTCAGCCCTTAGAGTGCTAAGATTACAAATGGATGCCACCAGGCCAGGCACGCCCATCTCTGTGTTAGTAAAGTAGCTGGAGATAGCCGAGAGATGCTTTAAAACACCCTTGAGAAGACAGGCACCAAATGATATCACTTGTATCTTGACATCACTTGTCTGTTGAGATTGTCAACTTTATCAGCTCGACATGACATGCAACCACCTGGGAACAGAGTCTTAATGTGGGGTGCCCTACGTCGGGTTGTATGCATGTCTGGAGGGGATCGTCTCAAAGAAGTTAGGTAAAGTGGGAAGCCCTAGCCCACTGTGGGTGACACCATTCCCTAGGCAAGGGCGTGGCACTGCATCAAAGCGGAGAGACCGAGCCAAGCATAAGCGAGCAAGTAAGTTTGCAACGCATTCATGCCTCTCTGCTCTTGACTACAAATTTGATGGGGCTGCCAGGCGGTGGTGGCGCACGCCTTTAATCCCAGCACTCGGGAGGCTGAGGCAGGTGGATCTCTGTGAGTTCGAGACCAGCCTGGTCTACAAGAGCTGGTTCCAGGACAACCTCCAAAGTCACAGAGAAACCATCTCAAAAAAAAAAAAAAAAACCAAAAAAAAAAAAAAAAAAAAAAAAAAAACAAACCTACAAATTTGACGGAGCCAATTGTCTCAAACTTCTGTTGTTGCTATTTCCCTGTACCGTGGAATTATGAACTACAGTAAACTCTACCTCCAATAAGTTGCTTGCTGTCAAGATGACTCTGTTACAGCAACAGAAATGAAACTAGAACATACATCTCAACTAAAAAGCTGACTTCATAGAAGGGCATTATTATATTAGTACCAGGTACCTGGAGCCTGGGGAGAGCGCAAAGGGAAAGACAGGCTAAGAGAATGACAAAACAGGCTTAAGAGTTTAGGTTTTTTGGGTGGTGGTGGCGCACACCTTTCATCCCAGCACTCAGGAGGCAGAGGCAGGTGGATCTCTGAGTTTGAGGCCAGGATGGTCTACAGAGTGAGTTCCGGGACAGCCTCCAAAGCTACACAGGGAAACCCTGTCTCAAAAAGCAAACAAACGAACAAAAAGAGAATCCAGTTTTTCACTGAGAGAGATAATGTAGGGTAACTGTAGTTACCAGAGGTTATAAGCTGCCCAACGTGGTTTCTGAAAAACGAAACTTGGGTCCCCTGCAGGAGCAGTGTGAAAACTGCTGAGCCATCTCCCAGCCCACCATCCATTGTTTATCTCTTGAAGAAGCATGTCTCAAAGGCCTCTGAATCCACAATTAAACGAATAATTTTCCAAGGCAACTCATCTCCCTGTACCCCCCAGTACATTCTCCTCCTAGAGCCTCACTCTTGCTCAAGATCCCTCCATCCTTCCCAGAAGCTCCAACAATGCTGTCTTTGTCCTGTCTCTGTCTCACACTCTATCCAACCAATCAGCAACCCCACCTCCTCTTTTGTTAGAAAGCACCTTGCTTCTCAACAGGAATCAAAGAGAATGCCTCAGCTTGGTGCCAATGTATCTGTTGTTTGCTTAGTTGGCTGGGTTTTTTTTTTTTATGTGTGTGTGTGTGTGTGTGTGTGTGTGTGTGTGTGTGTGTACAATCAGAGGACACTTTCAGGAATCAATTCTTTCCTTTTACAGTGGGATCCAGGAATGAAACTCAAGTCACCAGGCTTGTGTGGCGTGTACATTTACTGCTCCAAGCCATATTACCAGCCCTTGTTTTGTTTTTAGAGACTGCTAAGTAGCTCAGGGTAGCCTTGAACTCACTATACATCCCAGGCTGGCCTCAAACTCCTGCTCCTCTTGCCGGTGCCTCTTGGACACTGAGGTTTCAGGCATGAGATGCCACGCTCAGCGGCTGGGTTGCTAGCCTCTCTCCTATTGGGGTGCCCCTTAGTTAGGGAAGTGGGGAGCAGCTTCAGGGGCCAATGGGACATCTCTAATTAGAACACGGTCTGGTATTTGCTTATTTTCACTGTGCCTGCTTTTCATAGTTATTCTCAATTAATTGTAAAAACCTAAAAATGAAAAGAGACTGACATTTCCTCTCCCACTGTGGTGATATCTCCCTGGGAAATTCTCAGAGGTAATTTTTTTTTTCTTTTTTGAGACAAGGTTTCTCTGCGTAGATTTTTAAAAGCAAGCTGACTCATGGATGCTGGTGGGAGTGTCTGTTAGCCCAACAACCGTTTAGTAAAACCCCACCACACCATCTGCTAAGGCTAAACATATGCATACCCCCACAAGTGATGTTCCTGTCCTCTGTACCTACGCAAGACAGAGGGAAACTATCCTGTGTCCACACGTGTTTGTGGAAGCCACCACTCCTCTGTCCATATTTAAAAGCAAAGCTGCTCGGGGAGCTGGTACATGGCTCAATGGATAGAGCACGCTGCACAAGCATGAGGATTTGAGTTCAAATCCCAAACACCCACATTGTAAAAAACGGGGTAAATATCGTATTTATTTCAAACAAAAAAAGAGTCCAGCCAGGACATCTGGCTGACTCACATCCAAGAGGAAGAAGAGAGCAGCAAAGTCCAGGTCTGAACATCTGGTCGACCTGCGGCGTCCATGAGTAACCTCCTCACTGGAGGAGGAGCAGAAACAAAATTCCAGGGGTCTGCTGGCCAACAACCAAAGCAGCCAAGACAGTGAGCACTAACCAGCCTGGACAAAGAGACCCTGCCTCAAAATAAATAAGGTAAAGAAGAAAGAAGGAAAGCATCCTTTGGCCTTCATGTGTGCCAGCATGGGCCATTGCATGCACACACTTGCTTACGCACCTTTATGGGTCACTGGAACTGAAGAGAATGCTCAGTGGTCACAAAGCACTGGCTGCCCTTGCAGAGGACCCAGGTTCAGTTCCCAACACACACACACACACACACACACAACACACACACACTCCACACACACGCACACACGCACACACACACACATTTTTACAAATTTTTAAACAATGCAGATATTTTTAAAATATTACAGCTGGGGCTGGGCATGTAGCTCAGTGGGTAGAGCGCTTGCCTAGCACACACTGGGGATGGGTCCCCAGCACTTCACCATATCCCATGGTGGCCAAGACATCTGATCCCAGCACTCAGGGCGTGGGTGTAGAATGGAGACACGCTCGACTACATGGTGAGTTCAATGCAACAGCCTGAGCTACATGAGACCCTGGCTCAAAAACAAATATTAGCCACCACTGGGTATGGTCAAGAGCATGTATAATGTCGGCATTCTGCAGGCCAAGATGGGATCTCAGACTTGAGGTCGGTTGAGACACCATGGAGTCTCAGAAAGGTCAAACAAAGCATTGCAATTTAGATGTCTATCAACAAGAAGATGAGTAAATACATTGA